TTGTCCTCTCTTTGCAAGCAAAAACAGCTCCCTGCCCTCCATGGCTTCTCTCTCCTGTTCACCTCTCTGCGCCTCATACCTGCTGAGTTCTGTGGTTCAGGTGTGTAGATTGTTGTGTTAATACTCCAATCAGTTTTCTAGGTGTGCAGGATGGTTTAGCATTGATCTGGCTGTATTTCATGGCTAAGAGACACACACACAAAAACCTTCCATGCTGTTCTGCCATCTTGGCTCCTCCCCTTGGTTTTTAATTTTTTTTTAAGTTTATTTTATTTTTTTGACAGAGGGTATGTGCACATGGGAGGGGCAGAGAGAGAAGGAGAGAGAGAATTCCAAGCAGGATCCTCACTGTCAGCACGGAGCCTGACTTGGGGTACGATCCCACACACTGGGAGATCATAACCTGAGCCGAAATCAAGAGTTGGATGCTCAATTGACTGAATCATCCAGGCACCCTGGTTTTAATTTTGTATACACATTTTACTGACAGATAGAAATTTAAAAATTTTGGGGGGTACCTGGCTAGCTCAGTCTGTAGAGTCTGTTGAGGAAGAACGTGAAAATTCAATCTTTATTTTAAAAGATACTACACAAGTATTTACCAATTTATAAACACATGGTATTTATTGTTTTTTCAATATTTCCTAATTTTATTAATTAATTTTTAAAAGATTTTAAGGAATCTCTACACCCAACATGAGGCTTGAATTTACAACCCCAGGACCAAGAGTACCATGCTCCCCTGACTGAACCAGCCAGGCCACCCCATTATTTTTACATTTTAATAAGTATCTTACATTAAGTATTTCTTTTCCCAAGTAGCCATTCTTTGAAATTTTCCTAAAATCAAGTATATGTTGATCAATCTGTTGCTCCAAATTAAGAGTATAACCTTGGTGTTTTATATTTATACCATTAGAAAGCCCCACATTTAAATGTTTAAATGAAATAAATCCAAAGTGAATACAATATGAAAAATACATTTTAATCCAAAAGTTTGAATATTGGCACTTAGCTATTTACAATAGTATTTACAACAAATTTTACTGTAACTTTTGTAGAGATAACTAGGTACATAGAGCTATCTACAGTTGCTTGCTTCTAACATACAAACCATCACTGTGTAGAAAAATGTGAACAGGTAAAACTCAACAACTCAAAATCACTACGATTAAATAAGAGTTGTTTTGCTACAACTCAAAATCACTACGATTAAATAAGATTCTGACAAATTTTCCTGGAGTTGAAAAATGCTGGTTAAGTCACGACAGAATTGGAGGCACGAGTGTATGGTCCCCACTTCTTCCCATTTTCACATTGTTGTCCCCTTACTTAGCTGACCTGCATTTGAAGTAAAACTTACACCTGAATTCTAGACAATTTCATAGAAAACAGGGCTTCTAAGTCTAAGACTTTGTTTTAGGCCTGTTACTATGACTCTATAGCAGATGGTAGACTTTTTGAAGATATTAAATGCTTATGGCCCATTAATCATTTTTATGACGGCCAAAAGGTTGTTCTAATGGTAGTCAAGAAACTACCAAGTGGGATGCCTGAACACTAGGTGTCTCCTATGTGCTTTTCATGAAGTTCAGTCTGCTCTACAAAATTTTATTGTTTGATTGGAAACCTCAGTTTGAGAAAGGGAGGTAAAAACAATGAAGAATGAGCAGCTCTGTTAAGATCAACAAAATAATTCTGAATCTCTTTGCTGCAGAATAAAGTTTTAAAAAGCCCAGTCTAATACAATCATCCACCTATCAGTTTCTTTAAGGTTTAAGTGGCCAAGAGTCTACCTAACATTTTCTAGATGAGAAAATAAAGCTTGTGTAACTTTGTGATAGATACAGTTGGTCATAGCTATATTTTATTTGATTAAGTCCTTAGTCAGAAATCTAAACCTTAATTACCATTTTGTTCTTGTAGAAAAATACAATCCATTTAGAGAATACAATCCATGGAGAAAAATAGATACCACCTGTTCCTAATGGTCTCCCTGGAAATTATAGCCTTTGCCTGTAATTTAATTCCTTGTTATCCCTTTTCACTTTCCAAGTGACTAGTAATAAATAAGGTACTGGTTACTGGGTAGTAGGGAAAAACTTCTTAGTCTTCTTTCCGTCTAGGAATTTCATGAAAGAAATATGTGGCAAGTCATAGAGTACTATGAATCCAAGATAACTGGAAATAAGTTTTACTTTCTAAACTACAAATGGTTGGCAACTGTTTCCTTAATAGTGATTGCAGGAGTAGGTCCAACATGAGTCCATATATAGCCCTTCTCTGGTCTGGTTGGAACCGTGGGAAATGGTGATGAACGTGACTTGAAATATTCAGAAGGTGCGTGACACACAAATTCCAAGTATTCCATCTTCCTTGGAAGATCCTCCTCTGGTCCTAAAAGGCAGTCAGTGGAAAGATTAAATATCTTTTGAACATATATGTCATTTTCACAAAGGGTTAAAATTCCTAAATGGTAGGACAAACCACTCTGGTGACCTGACATTAGTCCTTGACACATGTATTACTCTGAAGTCACTCTCCCCTACTTTTTCTACTTTACCTGTTTAACTCCCCCAAACAGTGACTCAATATAGGAAGGACTCTAAAAATATTAGCACACCAGTGTTTATTATTATGTGCCCATACTGTTCTAAGTACTGCACATACACGGATACTTTGAGTCCTCACAACTTTGCTTGGAGGAAGGCACTATTATTATTCCTGTTCTATGTATCAGGAAAACGAGGCAAGAGAGATTAAGGAACTTGCTCAGGGCCACACAACTAGTAAGTGCTTGGCTATGAACCCAGACAGTCTGGCGCCAGCACCTGTGTTCTGAATCTCTATGGCATACTTCCCATTCTAGTATCTGAGGATTAGAGGAGGAGGTGGGAGAGGAGCCCCAGAGGTGATTCTTCACATCACCGCCTCTGCTGAGAACCCAGTCCTAGAAGTCAGGGAGATGAAAGTCCACTCTTCTATGTACCTACAAGCAGAAGACTTAGAACTGATTGTGTATCAAGCTTCACTCATAGGTGAGAATAACAGCAGTAGTTATTTGTCCCTGAGTTCCCTCTGGAAAAAACGAAAAACCCTTCGTATGAAAAGTAATGCAAGTTCACTGCAGAAAGGTTGAAAATATGGGGTAATTTAAAAACTCTGAACACTGGCACAAAAACAGACACATAGACCAATGGAATAGAATAGAAACCCCAGAACTAGACCCACAAACGTATGGCCAACTCATCTTTGACAAAGCAGGAAAGAACATCCAATGGAAAAAAGACAGTCTCTTTAA